GAAGAAACAGAAGTAACTTATTTTAAAGAGAGAGAAACAATAACAAAATAATAACAACAAAGACAAAGCAACATAAAATGATAAAAATAATACAAAATTTCAAAACAGGATGATAGCAAATTAACAATGTTTGTTATATTACATATTATAATTGTCAATAAAGTTGCTCAGATCACCAAATGTAAAAATGCAAGATTGATCAAACAATTAAAGACAATATAAAATAATAAAGAAAAACATTAATGTACAGAGTTTCACTAAACAAGATGGAACTCAACAATGGTTGTTACATTGCCTACTGTTGTCTTCAAATTAGTTGTTCAGATTACCAGATATAAGCACGTAAAATTGGTCAAAAAAATTTAAGCATTAACTGAGAACAGAAAAATTTCTATTGTATTAGTATTGATATTTGCATTTGAGAAAATTCCATGTTTATAAAACAAGAGCTAGATTCTGTGAAAAGAGAATGAGAAAGTCAGAAATTACTCTCAGAAATTACAAATGATTGCTAAAAAGTAAAACTCCTAAAATGGCAAGTAAAAACTAAATCATTACAATGCAACAGAAGAGATATACTATATTTGGAAGGTCCAACATCAGGTTAATAGGAGTACTAGAAATACAAAGCAGAAAAGAGAGAGGATTAGATAATAGAAGAAAATTTCCCAGAGCTGAATTGGAGATTAGTGTTCATTAAGGGGTATGAAGTATGATATTACACAGGCACATTCATAATGAAATTTTACAGTATGTGGGATGTAAATATGATCCTAGTAAGGTTTCACTAACAAAAACTTTTCCTGAAAGTTGGAGTGATATTAGGCTTTCCATCTGCCACACTGGGTGATAAGATACAGGGGTGCAATCCTTCAAAGTTCTGAGGAAAAGTTGTTTTGATATAAAACTTCTAGATCTAAACTATCAATCAAATATTAGAGTATAATGGAGGTAGGAGACATTTTTAGACATAGAACTATTCAAAATTACCTACCAGCATGCCCTTTTGGAAGACAAGGGACCAAGGAAGAAGCCATAGTGATTAAATTGGATACAAAATGTAGGGAAACCTTTTCCCTATGGGCAAGACAGGGCCACACACTGCCTGTCCAAGCATTTTTGGGAAGAAGTACATTTTGTTATACAATTGACCCAAATTTCTGGATACAGTAGCGGCACCTATTTCTTCTATCCACAATGGATAAACAGGATGATTAAACACCTCTTACCCTCTGCCCTCCAAACCAAACATAAAAAGTTCAATGAAGTCACTGTCCAATGGAAAGCAGACAAAAACGTGACAGCACGTGGGATGGTTGGTGAAAACATGACAAAAGAGTAACTGTTTTGCTGACGTAGCAAGCTCTGCCTTGGGGTTGAGCAGCTTGGTGGCAGGGGGCAGTTGAGAAGGACATGTAAACCAGCATGTTTCCTGGGCTTGTGGTAAATAACATTAGATAGTTGTGATGACATAGATGTTGTTTATTTATTTTTTTTGCAGTCAATTTGTATACCAAATGTTAAAAATAATTTTAGTTCTAGTACAGAATATGTATTGTGAGACTAAAGGTTTAAGTAAGTGAATTTAAAAAAGAAATGGAAGAAGTAAGTTGGAGTGAGGGAAGGAGATAGCAATACCTGCATTGTCTGTCACAGGGAAAGTCACTAGAGCATAGCATACATCGACAGAACAAGGGACAGTGTTCTAGAAATGTTTATAATTTCATTTTGTGACCCACAGTGTTATTATTAAGAATAATCATAACCACAACATATAGGGTATATGGGGGATGATTAAGTGAGCCAAATACTCATTTCTGATGAGTTTTTTTTTATTTTAAGGATAAAAGGAGGGAAACATTAACAGACATACAACATTTTACAACATATCACAAGCACAATACAGACAATACAG